CCTGCCCGTTTCCCCAAGTGGGATCCTATTCCAGATGTTTGGTACCGACCTAGAGAAGCAGCAGCAACAGATAACACCCACTGCCTTTGCCATCCCCATATCTGAGCGAGATGGAAACGTGCCATCCCCAGTGGAAGACCATCTCCTTTATATGCAACAGATCCTGGTCCTGCCATTTAAAATGGATTTAGTAACTAGTGAGGGGAAATGACTTTCCGTGAGATGGGCGGCCATGTAAATTTGATTAATAAGTAAATAAAATAAATAAACGATCTTGTTCAGCCTGCTGCCAGGTTAAGGAGACAGCACAGAAGAAGATGAATAAATATTCCAACGATTCAATGTCGTTGTTTACATCTGTGTAATGTGTAAGTCACATGCATGCTGCCCACATGCCTAATTAATTTCTTTTAGCAAGATAGGAATATCCCAAGGGTAGGCAACCTTGGCTCTTTTATGACTTGTGGACTTCAACTCCCAGAATTCCTGAGCCAGCATGTCTCAGCTTGGAAACCTCTCCCTTTCCCCTCAGCATGGCTGGCTCAGGAATTCTGGGAGTTGAAGTCCACGAGTCATCAAAGAGCCAAAGGTTGCCTACCCCTGGAATATCCAAACCATAGCACTTGCAAACTTTTACTGATTTGGTTAGTTTGCAGATAGTTCAGGGAAACAGCTAATCCTCTCCCATCATTTATGCACTTATCCTGGATCTCAGTCTGTGCGCCTTACCCCACAGAGACTTGCCAAAATAAATTTTGCTTCCACTGTCTGATCTTTTATCACTCCAGCTGAGGTTTGGTGTTCAACGCTCCAAATTTTCTGCAATTCCCCTTCAACGAACTCCTTTTAAAAAAAAAAACTTTCTCCTTTTCCCTTGCTCCTGCTCTCCAGATTCAAATTGTAATAAAAATTACACACTCCGCCAACATCTCTCCAATGATCCAGTAGTGCCATTTCTGAGGATTATGTCGTGCATTTTTTTACTCCGCTTAATCCAACAATTATTTGTGTCTGTGTAATCGAAAGGAATAGGCCAATTCTCCAGCACAGAAATGAGAGAAAAATGTGGGAGTACAGGTAGTCCTCGACTTACGACCACAATTGAGCCCACCATTTTTGTGGCTAAGCGAGACATTTTTTAATGAGTTTTGCCCCATTTTACAACCTTTCTTGTCGTAGTTGTTCAGGGAATCACTGCAGCTGTTAAAGTAGTAACACGGTTGTTAAGTGAATTCCCACTGACTTTGCTTGTGACATGACCATGGGGATGCTGCAATGATCATAAGTGTGAAAAATGGTCGTAAATCACTTTTTTAGTGCCATTGTAACTTTGAACAGTCACTAAACAAACTGTTGTAAGTCGAGGACTTCCTGTATATTCTCCAATGAAGGGGGCACCTGCATAAGATTTGGGAAGAAAGGGACCAGCATGGTTTTATTTTCTTTTTTTTTCATGATAGGCGAAAGAGCAAACAGGCCCTGAGAGATTACAAAAAAGTTCAAATCCAGCTCGAAAATCTGGAAACAAGCGTTCGGGATCGGTGCAAAAAAGAATTTACAGGTAAAAGAAAGCATACTTCCCTCTCCTTCCAATTCAATCCTTTCTTACAGTCACAGATCAGAGTTAAAAATTAAAACGTGAAAATAAAGTAAAAAATAGAGCAGAACAAAACAAGACTTAATGTTGCGTTACGGTCAGTAGTGAGATCACCAATGAGCGGCCAAACTCTGCCTCATTTTATAGGCACCATAATAGAATTTAACTACATTCAAAGAAATTAATCTCATATGGATCTGATAGTGACAGCTGTACATAAAAGAGATCAGAATTTCCAGGATATTTTACCAGGTAAGGAGTCATGAGCCCAGGAATCCTTATAGAGCAGGGGTCCCCAACCCCCGGTCCATGGACCAGTACCGGGCCGCGGCATGCCAGCAACCGGTCCGCACAAACCAGCAAAGTCCCATATGCGAGATGCAGGCAGCATACAAAACCATGCACCTTCCTGTCCGCGGAAAAACCTCTCTCCAGGGAACCGGTCCCTGGTGCCCAAAAGGTTGGGGACCTCTATTATAGAAGGAACAATTCAACAGCATATGAGCGGTGGCTTCAATGGCCCCTTGTCCATAAGGGCACACTCAGCTCATAGGGGACGTTTTTATATCGGGCCTCCAGAACTGCTGTGGGAGAACATTACAACATGGTAGAGTTAGTGCCTTTTGAAATTTAGAAACAATTATATAATATAGGTATCTTGCTGGTTTATGAAGGGGGTCTCAAGAAAGCATTCTTGAGTACAGCATATAAGTCCTTTTGGATCTCCTGGTCTTTAATATGTTGTTTAAATGGGGACTAGGACAACTTGCTCGGGGCCAGGTTTCCACAGCCCACTCGCTGCAGCCATCTTGCCAAAAACCAACTCCACCACCGCTGTCTTGGCACGGCCAACCCGTCATGGTCATCTCGCCACAGCCATCTTGCCGTGGCCAGCTTATTGTAGCCAACTCACCGCAGGACAATTCACATGGGATAACTCAATGCGATGCTATCCACCACTGCTTCTTCTACCTTTTTTCCATTTTTGTCAATGAAAATAACATCGAAGAAAGAAGGGCAGATAATATTTAGCGTGTTGAGTTATCCCATATGGAATTACCCCAAGGCGAGTTGTCCCCTGGTGACTTGGATGTGGCAAGATGGCCATGGTGAAATGGCCGTGACAAAATGGCCGTGGTGAAATGGCCGCGGCAAGATGGCCGTGGTGAAATGGCCGCGGCAAGATGGCCGTGGTGAAATGGCCGCGGCAAGATGGCTGTGGTAAAATGGCCACGGCAAGATGGCTGTGGTAAAATGGCCACGGCAAGATGGCCGTGGTGAAATGGCCGCGGCAAGATGGCCGTGGTGAAATGGCCGCGGCAAGATGGCTGTGGTGAAATGGCCACGGCAAGATGGCCGTGGTGAAATGGCCGCGGCAAGATGGCCGTGGTGAAATGGCCGCGGCAAGATGGCTTTGGTAAAATGGCCACGGCAAGGTGGCCATGGTGAAATGGCCGTAGCGAGTTGGCTACGGCGAGTTATTCCATTCTGGCTTAAATGCCCTGAGTGCACGCTCATAGATGAAGAAGACATGTTCGCTCAGTTCCTGATGTAAGGCGGAAGCATTTTTAGTTTTCTACGTTTATGAGACCCCTCCCTTCTCAGCTCACTTCCGTATGACTTGTGTGCTTCCTCTGTTTCTAGACCTCATGACTGAAATGATGGATCTCACCAGTGACTTGGTTGGCACTGGGATTCCTTTCTTGGATTACAAATCCTATGCAGAACGCATCTTTTTCCCGGGCCACCGGGAGTCACCCCTGCAAAGGGACCTCGATGTGCCTGAATCTCGGCGGCAGACGGTTGAACAAGGCTTGGTGCAGCTCTCTAATCTTCTCAACAGCAAGCTCTTTCTCACCAAGGTATGTTTTAAATAAAGAATCAAATCAAATTAACCACATAAAACACAGTTCTACCATGCAGGATCCAGGCCAGTAGTGTGCTGCAGCTGCCAAAAAAGCCAGCACAGTGCTAGGCTGCATTAACAGAGGGATAGAATCAAGATCACGTGAAGTATTAATACCACTTTACAATGCCTTGGTAAGGCCACACTTGGAATACTGCATCCAGTTTTGGTCACCACGATGTAAAAAAGATGCTGAGACTCTAGAAAGAGTACAGAGAAGAGCAACAAAGATGATTAGGGGACTGGAGGCTAAAACA